AAGAATATAAAATAAAATAAAATAAAAAAACACTTCATCTGCTGAGGCTTCACATTTCATGCATACAAAAGAAGATTAGAAGACATGAGAGGAAGAACCCTGGATATATCTTCATTATTCGTGTTACAGCAACCCTTAAATTTCATACTAGTCAAAACTTGAACGTTGATTGAACAATCTCAGGGCTAAGCAAATAATAATCAATCACAAACATATCAGATTAAGCATGATAATTTGCTTCATATCTATATTTGGAACAGAACTTTCAAAGGAATGATTTAATTTAAAAATTAGCGAGATGTACCTACTGAAGAGAGAAGTTAAAGTAAAGCCTCCACTATTATAGACAAACCAACTAGCTGTTAGATTATAATAACAAAGATTCTTAACATTATTCCCATGTTTGCAGCAATGGGGAGCCACGATCCCTTAACAACTGAATAATCATTCTTTTAATAGAATAAAAACATAAGTATGCTGTCTTAGAAATTAGAAAGGCATTAGAATTACTGCAAATGGAAGTGGATGAAGCATAAACACATCAAAAAGGAGCTGCGTCTGTCTGACACAAGCCAAGCATCTTATATCAGATACGATGTAGCGACTTAAATTACATATGGACAAATTTTGTTATTTCCATATCCATGCTTGTTTGAGACACCAAAATGATAACAATCTATTAATGTCATTCGAAGCCGATCTTTTACAGGGAAACTGTTCATTCATTAAAACTCAATGTGAACAGCGATAATTGGTCATTTGGAAATCATTCAATCAGCATTCTTATCAAAACCTGTCTTCCAGTGCCTATAATTGAGGAAAGTGTAGCACTTCTAGTTTCAACAACTTCTTAACGACAGCCTTCAGAGAAAACCACAATTACGTAGAAAAAGTTGTTTCTCAGTTAACAACCGAACGCTCGAAGCAAAGCCACACTCAGTGGAGCCGATAATTCCATGAAAAAAAGAACAAAGCGAGCAGGCAGATCAAAATGATAAGGGAGAAAATGTAAAATGAATTTGCAAGCTGCAAAGGAAAGTGATGGGTACCTTTGCTTCGTAGATGCGAGGGCCATGATAGGCAAGTACTTTCTCGCCCTCGGAGAGTACAGGCTAGAATTAGAAGGCGGAGTATTGCCGCCGGATGTGTCGCCGTCGGTCGTGGAGTCGTCCTTCGACGAGTTTCCCATGTTCGAGCGAGCTGGAGAGAGGAACGCTTCAGCGTGTGGAAGCTCGAAGTTGAAAGGTGATGTCCTTTTCGCCGTGAAATCCACTGGCTCCAACCAGCGCGCCTTATTGCAGATTTCGGGGGGAGTCGGAGAGTCACAGTGACAAAATGAACAGAAATCATTAGCGGTTATGGACCCCATCTGTTTCATCTCACGACCGTTTTATTTTGGGCTTTCATCAAGCCCAATAAGAAGCCCAAATAAATTTAAGCAATATTCCAGCGGGAGTCTCTACTTTTTCGTCTTTTTCACCAGCCTAGCAAAATTGGCTCCCGCCAATTTGCAAATCCTATCAGTTGATGACTATTGTGAGTTGTGAGTTTAACTTTGTCAGTCTGTAGCATATTTTAATTTGGAAAATGTCCGCATTTTATATAAAATAAATTCGAAATTAGTAAATTCTTTACACGTCGTATGGAACATTTCATGTTTTACCTTCCAGATCAGATTGTTCACATGCTGACATATCTGCATCAGTCATGTGCATAATCTTCCTGTCATTCTTCGGAACTAATTCTTGTGCTGCCGTTGCGTCTCTTTCCAATTGGACTCATCTTCAGTAATTGAGTTTTCGCAGAGAGGTGGTCTTCATACCAAACATAGAAGCGAGAGCGAATTAATGGAGAACAAGACTCGATTTTCTCACATACGTGTACTATATATTACTGTAAGATTGAGCAGATATTATGTGGTCCCTGAAGGGATAAATTATGGAGGAGCAAAGAGCAATTAGTTACTTTTTCCGATTCATTTTGTAACCTCCAATAACTACTTTATGTGAGTTAAAAAAATTTTAGTCATTTATTATAAAATCTTAAAATTATCATCAATATAATGAAAGTTATTAGTTACTTCGAAGGGATGTTTGGTAGAATATAACACTTTAAACAAAAGCACGTACGTCATATTAATAAAGAACATGTCCGAGATCCATATGATGAGTAATGGAGGGAGGATTTGATACAGAGTTCTTAATAACAGAAGTTAGCATCGCAGAACTTCTCCTTATTCTAGTTAACCACAATAGCCTTCTTTGAAGTGCATAAGAAGTTTTTTTTTTTTTTTTTTAACTGCAGACGTTTTCAGAAGCTCCGAGAAAGAAACGGTGAAACGAGTATTATACTCTAGTATGTGTAATGATGGTGGTTTTTTGAAGTGACCTATGGAAGAGAAGCGGGTGAGCTTCGATTTATTTATTGCAATATATTTAACAATACGTAGGGAAATAAGTGGCAAGACACCTATGAATCTGATGACCGATGCCATTCAAGTGAACGAACATTATATTGGGTTATAATTAAAGAGCATCAAAAGTACACATATGAATGAAATAAAAAAAGAAGTGGTGGACAATCTTAAGCTAGCCAGCCAACCAATGGCTTGTTTAAGCTAGTGTCCCTGACCAGGACTGGGCCCATTATCCATAAGCCTTCGGACATGACTTGTAGAATCTGCAAACTTGTTTCCAAGATTCAAACCCTCAAGGACAGCTTCATGAGAGTTGTTATTACTAACACTATGATCTAACCTCGAGATAATGAAGGGCCTGGCCTCCGACTTGGAGCTAAAGAACAGGAGGAGAAGCAGAAGCAAGAAGGTCGAGAACTTGGCAAGTATTCCTATCGCCATGCCGGCGACGTGGGATATTAGTTTGTGTGTGCGCGTGCGCATATAATGATACTGAATGCTAGCTGAGAATGTCTTAGACACACATATATATATATATATATATATGAGATTTTTTTTTTGAAGAGCCAAAGCACATTATGTACTGTATACACGTGTTTTATGTGAGGGGCTGGAGGCTGAATATATATACACATGGTTAGGTTCCAACGTTCAACAGAATGAATGGAAAATGCCGGAGGTTGCATGTGAATCGGAAATAACGAGGAAGGTTCGCGGGTTAGAAATCAAGGAAACAAATTATAGTAATTAGTAGTGGAGACCGCTTGATTCGTATTGTCGTGTTTCTGTACTAATGAGAATTGCCTGACCAGTCTAAGCAAGATCTGACCGAAGCATCTCTCTCTTTCGCACTCTATTGTGCAAGATCGTGAGGCGCCCATTGGTCCTCCTTTTCTCTTAATTTCTATATAATTTAGTTACGTTGAGTATCTAATTTGGCAAATTACTCTTTCAGTTCTTAATACAAGACCCATTTAACTAATTTGATTAAATTAAAGAAGTTAGGTAAGTTAGTTAATTATAAGAAAATTGACACATTTTTCTTAAAACATCATAATCATCTTTCTTAATACCCCCTCTCTCTTTTACTTAATTATGGTTGAGGGAGTATCTATAGGGGTAATTTAGAGAAAATTGATAAATATGAGAAATGGGTCTTATATTTAGGACCAAAACTAACTCAAAAATTGGGTCCTATATTAAGGACCGGAAGAGTATATTATATACTTACGTTCTTTTTTCTTTTCTTTACAATATACATGTGTATATATATATCCGTGGTGGCTTTGCTTTTTCTACGTGCAAATAAAAACAGGAGAACTATCGATCGGACCGAAAGCAATTAAGTTTGGCAATAGAGGAAAGACGTTTCAAAACTTGCTTACGGTGAACGTCAAATTGATTAAGATAGGGCCATCGAAAACTGTTAAACTGGTGAATGGTAGAATCTAATACTTTGACTTTCCAACCGTGCATCACGACTACTCTGATCCTGGTATTGCCGAAAAGATCGCACATCAGGAATTCACGGATAGCTTCACGTGGCTGCGGTCCAAGAGAAGGAAGACCGTGGCTAGAGATTAAACATACACTCCATTCACTTCAAAATATAAGCTAAAATTTACTGGAGGGGTTTGTTTTTTTTATAAGATAATATTCACTTTTATCTAAGCATTTAATGAGTTTTTTTTAATTTTACCTCACATATATTCTTTTTATTTTTTGATTCATTTATTGCATCTTTTACTTATTCTTTTCATTAATAAGGGCATTTTTGGAAAAAAAAATTTATGCCTTACATATTTATTGTTTTGAATTGATTTTAACTAATTTCTTGATAAACGTAAGTGGATAAAGTTTAGTTTATATTTTGAATCGGAAGGAGTATAATGGAGTGATACAAATTGGAATAAAATGTAAATAAGCCTAGTTTGAACTTGTTTGGTAATTAAAATCGAAAAATGTTTTCCTCCCCACATGAATCTATTAAATTCACTGTTAAATCGGCTACTCACAAGGTCAAGATTTAGAGATAATAAATATTAGTGCACGTTTTTTGAAGGAAAGTTGAAAGGGTCAACGCGTTAAATCTAATAATTAATTCAATCCATTAAATCTTGTCGGGTCAAGGTTCGGTAACAGAAATTATCACGGGACGATCTCGTCATCACTTAGCTTCGAGCTAGCTCCGTTTGATATGCGTCTCTCATGTGCTGAAATTAAAGTTCATAGCCGTTTAGGAAATAAAACATCTAAGTTTTGTCTTTCACAAAATTAAGTAAAATAAAATATCTAAGTTTAGCTGTTCGCAATATATGCACATGTAGGTTTTGCTACCTCTTGATTATAATTAAATCAAAATGAATATTCCACCAATACCGCGTGCTGGTAAATAACTTCATATCCTTATCGAGAGATCGACGTTTATTTATAGCTGGTTAATTAATTAATCCACGAAAATTTGACTTTATATGTATTCAATTCTCATATAATTTATTTGTTATAGTATTTTTTTCCCCAGCGTTTCAATCAAAGTATTTGGTGCATACATATATACATAGGATTCGCATGCATTTTTGTGGCATGAAATTATTTTCTTATTCATCGTATCCGGACGTACTATGAAAATTACATCATAACATAAGCTCTGCAGTTTGCACGCAGAACATCAGCGTGGCTGCAAAGTTACAAAATTAACAGAGAAAACAAAAACTACATTTAATTCAAACAGTAGACAATCACGTTTTTGTTCTTAACATAACATATGAAAAAAGAACTAAAAAACCAAATTGGTGGATATATAGCGAAATAATGTATATAAAGGAATGAAGGAATCAATTAATCTGCAAATTGCCTGGTAATTAGATGGTGCAGCTGGCAACTGGCTAGTGCCCTTGGCCGGGGCTAGGACCAGACTCCTTAACATCCCCAAAGGTCCGGCTGTTGGTAAACTTGTGTCCTTGTCCTCCAGAGCTAGGACCCGAGTTCTTGATCCCTCCCAAAGTCTCAGAGTTGGTGAACTTGTGTCCCTCACCAGGGCCGCTTGGCCCTGATTGCTTCATTGATCCCAGAGACAACCAATCAAACACATCCAGGTCCTCCCTAATTCCTGTGTTCACTTCCCTAGTGATGCTCAAAGGCCGAGCTTCTGATAGTGTGAAGACAGTGTTCACCAACAGAAACAGAACCAAGAGGCCCTGAACTCTGAGCACTGCGGTTGTCATGCTTTTAAGTTGGAAGATAAATAAGGCTCGAGAGTACAAAAACAATGCTCGAAATTGAAGGCAAGATAGAGAGATAGAGAGAGAAATAAAGTGTCTGATGTTTTAATTAGAGTTGTGAAGGACATGGAGACACTTAGATCCAGGAATCCCTTAAATAGGATTGGCCTGCATGAAGTTAAGAGTGGAAGGTGAGTCAGGTTGGTTTGACTCATGCATATTCCAACGATAAGGCTTGAAAATCCATTGCCATATTCAAACCCAATTTGAATAGATTGATCATATTCTCGGGGAGGAAGCAGCCGAGGAGGTTTCTGAAAGTCCTTGAAATATATATATATATATATTTATTTGACTGCGGACAGTTATCTAACTCCCTGGGAGTATCTACTAAAACATGGAATTGATCGAGGAAGAAGACAGAGGAAGGGTTACGTGTCCATATGGGATAGGTTGAGTTTCCGTTGGTACCCACGGCATCAGTGAATTCATCGGAAAAGTTGAAGCGCGCGAGGCGCTCCAAGATGAAGACCGAAGACTAAATACGTGACGTCACTTGAGTTTGAACATCAGGATATGAAAGTGGTGGTTGATTTATTGGGGCAGCATGTTGTGACCAGTCAAAATAATTAAAAGACGTCGCCTGTGTGACTGTGTGTATGATGGCCGATCAATGGGCGCAAGCAGGACGAAAGTTCGTAGCCAGTGAGAAATAACAATACAACTTTTATTTTGGAAGCCGAGATGGCAGATTAATGCCAAGTTTTGCTCGCCTTAAGATTTCATGCTATAATTAGAGCCACAAAGCTAGATCGTGTCTACTAATAACTCAATATGCCCATATAGTATTATATTAAAAAGAACATGCGCCACTGGTAAGTCGCTTTCATTTGAGGAGTCGAAGTCTCAAAAGCCATCGCATTTCTTTTTGTTATGTGTACAAGTATACAATCACGACAGATGAAGATATATAAGACTAAATAAAGTATTCAAAATTATAGTCAAATTCAAATTGTCATCACATGCCGGCAGCCTCTTATTTTGAAGAGTACGTATGTTGTATTTTTCCTGCTTTTCCTTCTTTCGGTTGGGGGAAAACAAATTAAAAATTCAATTTGTATTGTAACTGACTAACTTCTTATTAGAACATTTTTTGAGGACAAAAAGGGGTGCTTTTTTATTTTATTTTATTCTGTGCTGCTGTACGACTATATTCGGCCTCAATAAGCATGAGCTATGACGATTTCACTGACGTTGGCCCAGCGTCTGTCCATAACTTGCACCCTTCCATACAAGTAAAGTTCTTTTGGGGGAGCTATAGTAATAAAGTGATAAAAAGAACTGTGATTTCACAAACAAACTGTGTTGCTGTGTCGAAGTACAGAGACTAAGAAAAATAATCAAGAAAGAAATTTTAATTAAATTAAAGAAAAGAACGTACTTTAATGATGGTAATTAAGTTTCGTGAATGCATATATCGCCTAGTTAAATGGTAATAGGAGAGAAAACTCTCTTCCAGCAGAGTTGTTTTGCTGTGTGAACCAGTTAATTTGAGCATTTAGCGAATGAGCGATTTTCGAAGTCATGGAACATATACGTTCCTCCCATCCATCTCACTGTGCTACTCATACTTTTGATGATTGTAATAGCTATCGAGCTATCAGAGGAAGGGATCCGATATTAACCCTTCACAGAGTCATACTGCTATTCTCTTTTGTCGTCTCTATGATAATAAGTTTGACAAGTGTCCAGTATGAAGCCTGAAGTATGTGTTCCGGATTCGCAATTACGAAGATTGTTGTTCCTGATATATATTATCCTGATGAGACCCTACAAAACGAAATAATAAAAAAAGACCGGGGAAGAGTTTGTTCTGTGAAACAAAAAATAAACATTGCATACACAACGCTGGTTCCCGCGCCCTTTGAAGATGTTCTGGTCTTGCTTTTCGTATTTCTTCGAACAGAAGATTTGTGTCTATCGTAGCTTAAGTTTTTTTTATCCTGGTAGTGATTTGTTGCTAAAGTTAACCATTATTAATTAGCTAAGGATTGGAGATGAAAGTAATACTTGGGCAAAAAACAAACACAGAGAAAACCATTAAGATTATCAATCTGAATTCTTTATCACGCCGGCAGAAATAATACATCTAAAATATAATACACACGCATAATTGTTATCTAATGATTATTTGTAACTTAAAGTATTTAAAAAATAAAAATATGTTAAGGAATCAAATTAACAATACATAAATGTATGCATGTATATTAAATTTGAAATATTTGGCCTCCCGGCCCCAGCTTACGTCATTATACATATAATTATATTATATGCAATACAATCATAATATTCTTGGTAACACAAGATCTTGAAGAAGGGGAAAAAAAAAAAGAACCAACAAACCAAAAGAATGAAGGAGTTAAATAATCTGCAAGTTTCTTGGTGATTAGATGGCATGTGGCCGATGACTAGTGTCCTTGACCGGGGCCGCTGGGGCCGGAGTCCTTAACATCTCCGAAGGTCTGACTATTGGTAAATTTGTGTCCCCCTCCTCCAGCGCTGGGACCCGAGTTCTTAATCCCTCCTAAAGTGTCGGAGTTGGTGAACTTGTGTCCCTCCCCGGGGGCACTTGGCCCCGACTGCTTCACTGATCCCAGAGATAACCAGTCAAACACGTCCGTGTCCTCCTCAATGCCTGCGTTCACTTCCTTAATGATGCTCAAAGGACGAGCTGCTGACACTGTGAAGGCACCGTTCGCTAACAGAAACAGAACCAAAAGACCCTGAACTTTGAACGCCGCCGTTGCCATGCTTTCAAGTTGGAAGACAACAAAGCTCAAGAGAGTACAAAAGCAAATGGTTGAAAGAGAGGGATGTAGAGAATGAAAGAAGTTGTTTGATGGATTTAATCAGTGCAAGATATGGAGTCCTTAAATAGGATGGCAAGCATGAAAATGGGAAGAGAGGAAGGTGGGGGTTAGGTTGTTGGGTTGACCCGGGCATATCCAAATGGGAATGGATGACCAATTTCGCTTGGCTCCCACGGCAGTGAAGTCATGGGGAAAGTTGAAGCGAGGGGCTCGTTGGAAGATGAAGACCAAAGGCTGGAATTGCCTGACATCACTGGTTGGTTTTGAATATTCCGAATTAAAGTGGTTGATTAGTTGGAGCAGTACGTGGTGACCGGTCAAAAGTAAAAGACGTCGTCTGTGACTGACTGACTGTCTTCGTGGCAGCTCGGGGGCGCGGGTGAGACGAAGCTTCGTCACATGACTACATGAGACCAGTGAGCGATTAGCAATTGCGATCCAACTTCTTTTTGCCGTTCCTTTTTCTGGGCCTCATGGTGTTTGAGCCCAAAACGGAGATTGGGCTAAGACAGATTTACTATTACCTAGTCCTAAATATAAGAATTGGTTATTAATTTAAATAGATTAAAAAAATAAGTTGAGTTAGTTTTTTTTAATAAATAAATATTATCTTTCCTAAAATATCTTTGTTAATCAAGTTTATTGGCTAAAAATGCCATATTAAAAGAATTCTTGGAAAAAAATGAATAAATGTGAAAGATAAAAGGATTGAAATCTTATATTTATGACCAAAATAAAAATCAAACGAGGTCTTATATTAAGGACCGAAGCTAGTATTTCATTGCTGGTGGCCCAAAACATTAAATACGACGAGAAAACGAATATTCACGAAATACTGGTCCGTGGTCTAAAAGCTTGAAAAGGAGACTGTGAACGACGTCATGCAGTTCAGCTGTAGCTAGCTTATCCTGAGGAGAGTGGTGGCGGCCCGGCGGGTTTGCAGACACCCAAAGCCTTTCTATGGGTAAGGGTTCGGATTCAGAGGACGGATGCATATATATATGGTGCTCGAAATTCAGACGAATGTGTTTATCATCCAGTGAATCAGAATATTCTATGCACTGCAGCAGCTAGTCTGTTAATTGTTGAAATTTATTTATTGTAATTGAAATTGTTATAAGTATACGTAAAAGTTGGATGAATTTTGTTAGGAAGTAAACATTATGAATATTTCCCCCAACAGAGATATGCATGCCCAGAGGAAACTGTGAATCAGCGATTAGCCAGCTCATCGTCGGTGTACGTGGCTCGCAATTGGCATGATTGTTATTTTATGTTTTATAATTTCTGTTATAGTCAATCAACTTGACAAGCTTCTCTCACTGAAAATTCTTTTGAAAAGCTCCCCAATGTTCATCTCTTTTTTTTTCTCCTTTATTTTAGGAGGTGTTTCACTAAGAAGCACTTTTTAAAAGTATTTTTATACAAATTGAAATAAATTTTTTTTTATATTTTTATGTCAAATATCGTAAAATTACTTTTTAAATTATGATTTGGTTTTTATTTAAACACTATTATTTATATGCAATCCCATGAATTTGAAGAATAGATTTCTGTTAGTTTTACTGATCACTGATATTAAATTAAGTTTTTTACTCTTCTAGAATTACGAAGACAAAAATTAATAATAAGAAAATTGCTGAAGAGCACGGGTGAAAATTCCCGGACGAAACCATCTCTGGCTGTTCGGGCAGGGGCTGGAAGACCTTGATTCGTTTTTCTTACTCGGCTACCATGTCAATTCGTTTAGATCCTCATACGTAGGTTCAACGTGTTTTAATTTTTGACACCATTATTCTATTTTTTTTAAAAAAAATTGACCCAACGGTACACCCAACCAAGAATTAACAAGTGTATTTCCATTGTGGGCAGTTGGGAAGCCCCATCAGCACTATTCTTCTGAATCGGATCCCATGACAAATTCATACGTAAGCGGCACGGAACCCTCCGCCGTACTCCTTAACCTAACTCTTTGCACCAAGAAAATCCACAGCCCATTCCATGTTGGCCCATATTTTCTTCAGAGAATAATATATTACAATTTTAAAAAATAAAAAATGTGAAATATTAAATCTGTGAGGGAGCACACAAGTAGTACGGCTTCTTATCATTTAAGCAAATGCTTCTTATATCTTCTACCTAAGTATCACTCTGATCTTATATGTAAACCACTTGTTAGAGAAAGTCTTGATCCTAAATATAATTCATTTGTAATATTATTTAATGCTTATTTTCGATTTTACTTTTATTTAGTTTTCATTAAAAAAAAGAGAAAGAAGGAAAAGATACAAGAATGATTTAGACATGTGGAGGGAGATAAAACGTTAACAAAACAATCTTATGTATTTCTTGGTATACGATAATAGGTTACAAATGACTTATATCAAAGAGAAGAGTCGTATATGTTATGTTCCAAATTTCAAGATGTTATTACTTGATTATAATAATACCCCTATTAACTGGGGGCATTAGACTGAGGAAGTTGAGATTTAAAATATTAAATCGTTAAATGGAAAGCAAAACTGGGGGGAACTGGGAAGAATCCTACTTGTAATTTTTTTGAGCTGTAAATAGAGGAGAAAGCACCATGCTGTGGCTAGCAAACCCAACTTTTACCAGTATTCTATTTTACCAACCAGCTTTTACTAGTATTCAATTCAATATAATTGTAAAAACAATTAATAAATTTTTCACAAAAATAGAAATTCCTGTTTTGGGAAATGGTTTCATGTCTTTCTTTTTATTCTATTTAAATCGTGCTGGGAGATTTAGTAATGTTTACATATGAGTTAATAGATAATATAGCAGACATGATAATTGTTAAAAATTAATAAAAATCAAACAGAAATAAAAGCTACTTTTCCTTTTCAAAGACATCATTTTGGTATTTTTTTGGAATCTTAAAAGATAGTAGTTAACAAGCAAGAGAGTATTTCCTTGTTTTTTTTTTTCCGGCTAATTTTTGTTTTAGTTGGGTATGATATCTTTCATTCAATTAAAGCAACACTAGATCCCAAATAAAAATAGCTTTAATAATAATTACAGTAACAGCAACCATTGCATCTTACGATATTTTTGTAATGTTTAGCATCCTTTGGTTGACAACTGAAGGTGCCACCCATGCTTTCTTTATCCATAACAATTTCTTTAGCCTCGTTTAACACTGAACATTCTCTTCCTTCATCTTCTTTAACTCATCTAGCATTAGATTTTCCATCAAGCTAATCAAAGTAATTGCATGCCCATCTCTCCTAAATGTGAAAGATATGAATAAAACCCATTAAATTTGTGAGAGAAATTCTGAAGGCTAGCAATTTAATCAGATTTAAAAATAAACATGTCACTCGCTAACCTTGAAATTTGGACATTTAAGAAATCTATTATAATTTTGTTTTATTCATGAAGTGAGGACTATAACTTCATTTCCATATCTACATCTTTGGACACTCGTTTCACCTGCGCTTTTTGCCCATGGTGTGTGAAGATGAGCTTCTACTAAAAGCCATTAAACTTCACTACAACAAAAGAAGAGTTTCGATGTTTAGGTTTGGTATGTGAATACTACAAGACGAGATCGCATAAAAAATTACTTCCTCCGACCTCCTCTTGCCTTTGCCAAATTTCTTTGCCTTTGCCGACATTTCTCTCCCTCCAACTGCCCCTCCTCTTGCCTTCATTGCCTGCGTCAACCTTTGCTCCTATTGAACCTCTCACTGCCTTCGCCAAATTTCTCTACCTTTATTGATGTTTCTCTCCCTCCAACATCTCCTCATCTTGCCGCTGTCACCTGCACCAACCTTCGCTCCTATTGAACCCCTAACTGCCTTCTTGCTTTTATGCCCTAATTGAAACCCGGAGTATTTGGTGTGTGCAACTATGCGTTTTGCCTTAACTCGTTTTTTCCTCTGATCGTCTCGTTCAGCCTTCCCTTATTCATACCACATCATCAAGTTTTACTTGTTAAGTCAAATGCCACATTATAGGTTAAAGGAGTTAGTATCAACTCAAATGAATTTAACAGCCTAAAGATACCAAAGACCAACGGCCAGAAACATATATTTGAAAGACCAATACTATAGATTTTAAATTTTGGGAACAAATACCAATATGGACCCAAATTTAAGGAACTAAAATTTATATTAATCCATGAATTAATAAATAATATAGGATACGTGATAATTATAAAAAATAAAACAGAAACAACAGCTCCTTTTTTTTTAAAAAAAGATATCGTTCTGATCTTTATCTGGAATCTTAGAAGACAGTAGTTAACAAGTTAAAGAGTATTTCTTTGTTGTTTCTTTTCGCTAATTATAATGAATTTTTAGGTTATGATGATTTGTTTTAGTAGAGTATGATATCCTTGATTTAAACGATACTGGATCCCAAATAAAAATAGCTTTATACGAGTAAGATATTTTTCATTACCCTAGCCGCCACTTCCCAAGGTTATGGCGATTTCCCTCTTCTTTTAATTATGGTTCAATCATACAGGGGAACTACTTGCCTAAACAAGGTATTTGTTTCTTGTCTTTTGTGGAACAAATTTTTTTTAGAGAGGAAAATTGAATGCAGCGGTGGCAGGTTTCGATGAAATGAAAGATCACAATGTGCTAAGGCTTCCGAGAGAAGGCGCTAAGCAGTCAATTTTGAACAGCTCAATAGAAGGCGATTGATGAGGACCGAGTGAGGGGCTCTGTTCTTGAAACTAATCGCCAGCCAGCAATTCCTCAAGACTTGAATTTGAATAAATCCGAAATCGCGAGCAGTGTTCACCGTTCCCTTAAAATGATTGTCCCTGTCTCTGTGAATCTCCTTCCGGGATCAAACTCAATTATATGTTCTTCCTCGGTCCCTTTCTTCTTTTATTCCTGTCACTTCTCCTTTTGCTCTGATTAGCCCCATTCAATATGTATGTTTATTATTCTGTTCTCGGACTAGCGATTTCCCTTTCTCTGTCTCTCTCAGCCCTTGCTTTGTCATCCTGGCTTCTCCACTTGACTAGAGAACAAAGGCGGTTCTAAACAAAATACTATACACGCTCATCGGACGCCCAATCAGCATCCTCTCCTTAATTCCTATTCAAGCGACTCGCACCAAAACCAATGAACTTGTTTTAATGCTTGTTCCATGTCAAATCTTCCAACAGTGCCATGTACTGCACCTCGCATTTACAAGCACAAAAGAAAAAGAAAGACTGGTGTTGGAGATTATCCTTCGCCAATTAAAAAAATACACGTTGAGGGAGGGAAGAATAAAAGCCCACCCCAAAAATGATGGTAACAGAAGAAAAATCCAGGAACAAAAAAGAAAACTCAATCTTTTTGCGTGAGATGGCACTTCTGATAAAAAACAGAGTGTGGAAAAGGGCCAAGGTTGTAGGTAAAATTACATATTCCGTTCCATTCCTTTTACTAAAAGATGCTTAGATTTTTAGGCCCTTTGGATTTAAATAAAAAAATGATTGGAAACCACCAATTGATGATTCTGGCTATCTTTGAGCGTGGATGCACCATTCTGTCGTCCATCGATTTCAAAAAGTGAAAAAGGAATAAGAGAACATGCGCTTACTACACCTTTCCTCCATTAATTTGTTGACGCACGCACACCTCCCCTTATTTTGTGCTACAGTTGTAAACCTGTAGATACCTTCCTTCCCATTTTTCTCCTCTTCATGCGCCGAAAGAAATAGCCAGACACAATTTCCTGAATAACCCAGTGAATTATAAAAGCCTTGAGACAACACAAATTTATTCATTTACTCCTATCCACAGAAAATAAATAATTGAGAATCTCGCAATCTTTCCTGTCAGTGCAATTTGTGAGGATGTGAACCCAAGTCCAAAGACTCCGCTGGCTCATAATCACCTTGGTATATTGATTCCGCCCCCACTTTTGCATCAGGTACCCACTTTCCTCACCATAACAAAATGCACCAGAAGCTTGGAACGCCTGGATCCTGCGTGTTTCCCAAGTCACAAAGCCATTCTCTAAAGTCAAGCTTTGAACCTGACTCAAATGGGAAGGGTGGTATTGGGTAATAGGGATGACTGTGCCTGATTATCGCCTATAAGAAAAGTTTCGGTCAACTTATACTGTCTTTAAGAGGTCCCACCCTTAAAAGCCCTTCACCGTCCATTTGCCCTTCCAAGCTCCTCGTTCATATGCAAAAGAACGCATAGCATACTCGTTGGAGATGCCAAACGTATCTTTTCACCTTCGTCACTCTGTTCGGGTATAAAAGTTTCAAGCTTCTCATTACCAATAGGGTTGGGAGAGACAGTTTCTGCCAACTCTAGAATGAGAAGGCTCTCTCTTTTCCTTCTGATCGCCCTCATGATGACGATGATGCTCTCTTTGACAAGGCCCTGTCTTGTCAATGGTAGAGTTCTTGCATCAACAGTCAAGGAACAGAGGGCCAATATTCATCAACCTCGAGAACAGACTGATAGTCCAAGGGGAGCTTCTTCAGTCGAGCAAAAGACAGACAACCGTGCAGAAAATCAAAGCAGTCGGGTTTTGATTGGGAAGGAATTCCATACAATGGCTTCAGGGCCCAGCAGAAAAGGTTCTGGTCACTAGCAGCCTTTCAATTCATGATCCCTACCTGTTTTTCATTTTGATTTGGTTATTTGGTTACATTTGGATTCATTATAGAGCAGCTTTGTACATTAACTATGGAATGTATAATCTTTGTCTATATATATATAAAAGATATTCGAGTGTTGAATTTACAGCAGACAAGTTGAGTATTCTTAAATTTGCTAGTCGCATCTCGCGTGACAAATTTTGAGTCTGAATTAATGAAAAGCAGAGGTTCTTGGTAGCTCAAAAACAGTAATTGGAAGGTGATATTGGACCGTTGTAACTGAAATAATCCGCTGGAGCAGCTCATGCCAAATATTTCAAGGCAAGTGAAGTAAGCATATGATATTTCTGTGTGAAGCGATTACCATGAACGCCAGGGTAAGTAATCAAGGCGACAATATGTTGGTTGTATATACTATTACACATAGCCACAAGCAACCGAAAAAGCATTGGGTGAAATACGCCTCATGCTCCAGATCACCCGAATGAGAATGATGATAAAACCTATCAAATGGCCAAGGCCTTCGCTGCTGCTAACACATCATGCCTGCCAGCTTTATACTCTAAATCACCTCACAAACATAATTGAAGTTCATAGCTGTGGTGAGATTTGGCCTCAAAGTTTGCAAATCTGTACTGAAGTTCACGTTTGTGATCCTTGTATGTGCCATTACTATGTTATCTTACTGAGTCGACACTCGTTCTATGCATGTATAGTATGATATTGGAAGTACCATCAACACAAAGCTTTGAAGGAGTCGTTCTCCATCAATCACAAAAATTTATCATTGATCTTACATTTGTTTTCGTAGCTTAAACAAACTTCCATTAACAATCACAGCAGGGGATGAGAGAAAAACAAAATATACAATTAGGCAAGCTATTAACACTGCAGCTACTCTGCCCTATATAAAACAAAAAGCAGGTAATATTGTACCTCGAAGGGCTTGATGATGATAACCTATCTCGCATCATCAATTTTCAACTGTGAGAAAACTGAACCCACTGTGTTATCAGATTCGTCTTCCCTTACCATGGACATATCACCTGATTCACCAAGTGTAGAAAGTGAAGGAAGTCGACGAACACTGGGCAGTTGAATTGATGCAGAAGCACCACTAGAGCTGTCCTCATGGGGTTCTCTCTGAATTGAGCCTCGCTGAAGCTGTAGTGCATACTCCAGGTCCCACAATACGTCACCCATGCTAGGCCTATCAGAGCCATCTTCTTGTAAACATTTCTCCACTGTCTCGCTAAATTTCCTGAGTGAGTTTGGATCTATTTGCCCCTTGATGGAAGGATCTATAATCTCTTGGAGCATTCCTTTGTTTTTGCAAAGGAGTCCCCATTCAGCCAAGTTCACCTGCTCCCGTGGCAGCATAGGTTCAATGGCTGGTCTTGCACATAACACTTCAAGAAGTACCACGCCAAATGAGTAAACATCAGATTTTTCTGTTAACTGTTGTGACCGAAAATACTCAGGATCTAGATACCCAAAGGTGCCTTTAACACCGGTGCTGACATAAGGTTGATGATCAAGAGGGCCTGTTCTTGAGAGGCCAAAGTCAGCAACTTTAGCAACATGGTTTTCATCAAGCAATATATTTGTAGACTTAACGTCTCGGTGAATGATGCCCCCTGATGCTCCTTTGTGAAGGTAATGAAGACCCCCCGCAGCTCCAATGCAAATCTCAAGCCTCTGCTTCCAAGGCAAGCTTGGCAGATTTGAATTGTACAAATGATCCCTCAGTGTCCCTTTTTCCATATATTCATAAACTAAAATCATTTCAGACCTTTCATCACAATACCCAATCAAGGAAACAAGGTGCCTGTGTCGAATTTTGGACAGAACCATAATCTCTGTCTGGAATTCTGGAAGGCCTTGTCCTGACCCAGGCTCACTTCTTTTCACAGCCACTCTCAAACCATTCCTGAGAACTCCCTTGTAAACGTTGCCAAAACCGCCCTTTCCAATTAATCTTTTTGTATCAAAGTTGTTGGTTGCAGATTGGATCTCAACGAAAGGGATTTTGAGCCCAAGATTTAAGTTTGGAAGAGGAGAGCCATGGGAAGTTTCTTCAGTCAATCTGCTGTGAGAACTTCCTCCTCCATAAAACGGCAATGGTAACCAGTCTGGATTATCAACAGGCTTAGGTTGTTGCTTCATAAACTTCGCCCGCCAAATTAGCCCAACCAGTATAATAGAAATTAGGACGGAACCTCCAACTCCAAGCGATAAACCCAACACGAGAGGGAGATGCTTATTCACATTTGATTCCTCCAACGGTACGGAATTTGAAGAATCAATAATTCTCATAATTTCTAGGCCGTTCAGATACGTATTTGGAACTGGAGAAGGAAGAGGTGCTATGCTGATAGTCACGAATCCAGAGGCATCAGTATTGACCACATAATCATAATAAAATGGAACAGGCAACTGGTTAGATATGTTGATGGAATTGATCATTGAGCGGGAGTTGTTGTAGATGAATAGATTGAAGTATGTAAGATTAGGAGAAGAACTCTCCAAGTCACAGAAGTGAACCCGAACAAGATAATTAGCTTTCTTTTCTACAGCAAGACCCCAGGTTATGTTAAGGAAATCAGAGGCAGAAGCATTGGCATTCAAATGAACCTTTTTGTCACTTAGGTAAACACTGTTCGGGGCAGTATACTTGGTAGCCCAATAAACAACATCAGATCCAGAATTTACGTCCCGGTATTGAATATCAACAGTGGACCTGTTAGTATCAGCAGCCCGCGGGTTAGACAAATAAGGATCGTCTATTTCCCAGAATCTAAAAAGTTCATCCTGGCTTCTTGAGACATTAGGGCCCCCAACATTAAGCCTGTAAGTCATCTGTAACCCCCGAGACTGCAAACCCGCGTAATTCGCAGAATCGCCACTGGGTGTCACGGTCGGAACATAATCTAGAATGAAATTATCGGGGAGAAGGAAGAGTTCTATGGCATTAACAAATGCAAATGATGATTCCAGAGGCCTGAAAGTGATTTTGAAGTCGGTGGCATTGATGCTTATGAAGAATTCTTTCACTAAAGGAGAATTGCTAGCATTTTTGGCAGCGAAATTTTGCAAGAGCCAGAACCCAGGAACCGAAACATTAAAGCGAGCAGAGGGGAGATTGCTTGAGGAATGGAAAGCAAAGAAATGAAGGCGTACCAGATAAGAGCCAGAAGTGTCTGTTGTGAATTCGTACGAGAATTTCTGTTGGAAGACCCTTGCCGTTTGGTAGATAGGAGATACGGCCGATGACTGAGTGCCCGCTTCCACGGCGCTACTCTGCTTTGGAAAGGACAAGGAAAGAGAAGAATCCCCCGCGAAAACCCGACCACTTTCTGTGTCTGTTACGTTGTTATTTGACCCACAGCTGATAAAATACTTATCGGGGACGGTGTATGCCGATGAGGGAGACTGAAACCATGCCAACTGAACGAGAAAAAGAGGAAGAAACAGAGAGGTATGAACTCTAGGGAATTGAAGACCTCCCATGGAAAAAGAGAACGTGAGTCTCAGTCTAGTTATCAGTCAGATTACTGCATTTCTGGGAGCAATGAACCCTGGGGTCGAGAGGACACAAGAAGCAGATAGGAGAAAGACCACGGGACACCCATTCGTCAACTCTGAACGGCGAAGTTGACTTGTCACCCACTCGCAATATTTGGTGGACCTGGGCCCCACTAGTAACATTTGAAGTGCGTGAGGCTATTTTGACTGATGGTGGGCGAGGGAAGTTTCGACGTGGTGGCCAAGAACTTCATTGGTCCTCTTGCGCTTGAAAGAGAGGAAAGTGGAATTCATCTTCACTTTCCTAATTTTTTCCCCTACTTCTTCTGCACTTCTCATAAACAAAACAAGTTTTAAAATATTTTTTATTACAATTCCAGTGGTAACCACGGATGCCCGTGAAGGACGCTCCATGCTGATTTGACTAAATTATTTTTCAAACTCGGTACCATATTAAAAGAAATGTTTGAGTGTTTAGCTAAAGTAAGTGGAAACCAAAATAATTTTACCTCCAAAGTTTATATGCCCGTCCCTAATGCAATTGATGGGTCACTTGACAAGACCCAGAACACTAGTCCAATTGCAAGTAGGTCCATCCCATAATCTCCACCTCTCTCTGGAGTCCGGATGACTGAAGCGCGCGCCCGAAGAAGGAAAACATTTTGAAACTAAAATGAGATAGAAAAGAGGGTGGCGGCGCCACTAATTGAACATCCGGCTTACCTATCGCCAAGACAAAACTGCCCATCCAACTGACATTTAGAATAACACTAAGGGTTTGTTTGGAGTTTTGTTCAAAACAGACTTTTAAACAAATTTATGTAAATCGAAAAAAACTCTCTTATACACTTATCTTGTATTCCATAAACTACGTTTGAAAAACTATTTATAAATCATTCATTCCCTAAATATTTAAATGGCAACGAGCGAGCCCAGCAAATTTCTTTCTTTTATGGGCGATACCACGGCCCACCAAATTTCTACACCAGCATTTCTATTTTACAGTTTGTTTGTTGAATACATAATGTGTAAAGATATTACTTATAAGTGCTGGGACTAGCCAAAAAAAAGTTCAATTTCTTTCTCCGAATTAAAGTTCGAATTTGTGGTTAGGATCTTAAAAAGCCATGGTTTGTTGCTAGATTGTTGTTTATAACAAAAGTGTTTATGTGAGAATCTGTCCGGCATATGCGTATAAAGCTGAGCAGCTAACTAATTTAAATAACTTTAATTTGTTCTTCTGCACGCACATGTTGTGCCCCAGCTTCCCATGACGTAATTCTATAATCAATTCAGGCACAAAAGAAAAAGAAAATCTATAATCAGTTTGCATAAAGACCTTCATAATGTAAGATAAATTTAAGGGAATTCAAGAATCAATATTGCATGTGTATTGGCTTTATGCAATAGTATCTGTTGTTTAGTTTTTAATATTTATACAAATCTGCTGCAGCAATATATACGAAATCACAGAACATTTGAACCAAACGAGTATTAATTTGGTCACACTTTTCAGCTTGGGGACTAGCTAGGTAGAGTTTAATACTCATTTTGTTGTCGCAAAAAGACTGTGAATATATAATGTATATGTTCCTAAATTATTGGCATAACTTATACATGGTGCTACCTCTAATCCTTAATACTACTCCGATCATAGTTATCAAACCTTGTTTATAGACTACAAACGAGATTTTATAATTAGGACCGGATGTAGTCTAAGATTCAGTTGGCTAATTTGAAAAGATTAAAAAAGTTATTAAGTTATTTAATTATAGCATATGTTACATAATCTCCCTATAATACTTAAATAAGTGTATTATTAGATTATATATTAATTTATAAGAGTAGCAAATTAGTTTGAAGAAAATGATAGATATAAATATTTTAAGGTAATTTATTAAACTCCTTAATATCTCAAAATAAATTAATCTGGTCTTCGATTGGAGGTAGTACAGAATACCTCCAGGTCTTCTCAACGAATAGTATTCGCATCATCTCCTTACCAAGAGAGCAAGCTGTTGCAACGAATCAGTTCGAAGGATGTCCTCTCTCGAATTGGGAAATAGCAAGGAGTCAAGTCTCGGGAATTTCGTGCCTTTCTTTCGTTGGATTGATCAAAGAGATCAGAAGAGGTTACGTACGATCGAACGGTTGAGAAGACAAAGGACTGTTCATTGAGAGAACTCATTGATCAGTATATAAGCAAAAGCAGAAAGAGTTGGAAGGTACAAATGTTATGATATGATCGATCATTTACTCGCATCCCAAGGAGCAAAACCCGATTTTGCAAATTATCAAAGGCCTTATCCTGGTTAGTTTTGCAAATTATCGTCATAGCATAATTGTTGTCAGGGCATGTAAGCTTGATAAGATTCTCGTACAGGGCTGGACCAAATTAAATCCTCAAAAATATGTGTGATTATCGGGGGCTTTGGATCACTCGTGCAGTGTTTTTGAATTTGCATGTAATATTACGAAACTCTTGGCTTTACATGTCAAAGTAGCTGGAAATAATGGATATAATGGTGAATCTGTCAACCATCCAGATGATTTGGAGAAGGCAAGGACGGAGTTGTTGGAAGCTGAGGTTGAAGAAGAATGTCTTGTAGAAGAGGCACACCCTTCAGGACATAATTAAAGAGACTGTGTTTATTGACCAACATTATACTTAATCAGAATTAACATTGAGACCAAGTCTCTTCAACATGATTTATATTTATTATTTAACATTGACAGGTGAAAACAAACGCTTTCAACAGTAAAAAGAAATGTTTACGTAAAACTTATTACCCAACCGTCCTAAATAATTTTATCAAACTCGATAATTAATTAACCTTAACAAAATTATTAAACCAGTGAACAAATAACAAAGCGAGCGTGTGCTCCCGAAGCCAATATGCCAGAAAGCGTAATTAATAACGCAACACGATGAGAATCATAGAGGGTTACAGTAGAATCTTGCCGAGGATAGGACGTGCTTTGCAGTGAGCCTGCAGTGGAATGGCCTTGGGCATCAAGCTTCCACCCCTCTCGGTCATGTCATTTTTTGAGTCGCTGACCCTTTTCCAGTCAAAGCACTGTATCAACGACGCCAAAGTCAGCCCTACCGTTCGTTGGGCCAAGCCGGCTCCTGGACAGGCCCTTCTCCCCATCCCAAAAGCTATCAGCTTACGGGCTTCTCCCTCCCCAATTTCAAACCTCTCCGGCTTAAAGCTCAACGGAACAGTCCACAGGTCGGGGTCCCTGTGGATAGCCCATGCATTCACAAGCAACATTGTGCCACGTGGCACATCATAACCCCCCACGGAGCAATCATCAGAAGCCACGTGGGGTACGAGCATTGGGGCTGCCGGGCTCAATCGCAGAGTCTCTGAGATGATGCACTTAAGGTATGATAGTTTGGGGAGATCGGCTTCCTCTACAAGCCGCTCTTCTCCAACCTGAGCTACCAGTTCAATCCTTGCCTTTTCCAATACCTCTGGATGGTTTAACAGATATGACATTGCCCATTCTAACGTGATTGCTGAAGTGTCCGTTCCTGCTATTATCAACACCTACAAGACATGTCTTCCTTTCACAATTAATTATCACGTATGTATAAATTCAAAAGCACAGGCAGTTTGCCTAGTCAATGCTTATAACACCTTAAAAGTATAACTAAAAAGCAACTCAAGCAAATTTAGTGACGACAAACTGCAAAACTAACCAGAACAAGGCCTTTGATAATTTCGTCAGTGTAATACTGGGGTTCTGATTCTTGTGATGCGAGTAGATGATCTATCAAAGTGTTTGTGCTTTCCAATCCGTCTTTCTTATACCGGTGCTCGTCTACGAGCCCTTGCAGCAGCTCATCCAGCGTCTTCCCAACCCTTCGGAGTCTCTTTTGGTAACCATTGTAATCAATCCACCTGAACAGAGGCAAGAAATCCCCCAGGTTTGAATCCTTTGTTCCCAAACTAAAGGATAAGATCTCCTGCATGACGTCTCTAAACCGCTTCGCTTCCTCCATGTTCGTCAAATCAGATTCGTCGCCGTAATACCGCTTTCCGGCAACCATTCTCATAATTGTGTTGAAAGTCAGATCTGAGAACATTGATCCCAGCTCCACTTTCTTGAAGTCTTTGCGAGACTCGCGAGATAGCTTGCGTAGCAACAGCTTGGTCTCATCGACTCGGAGATTCAAGAATGAGTTGATGCGGTGTGTGGAGAGGATCTCGAGGGAGCTTATACGACGTAAGTTGCGCCAGTGGTCACCGTAGGTAGATGCAATAAGGACGGTGTTGTTGTAACCGATGTACTTGGTCTTTTGGGTGGGAAGACGGTTTGCAAAGATGATGTCGTTTTTAGTGAAACACTCTTCAACAGCCGACGGAGATGAAACGATGACGGCAAAACGAGACCCGAAACGGAGAGAGAAAATGGAGCCATATTTTTGAGAGAGGGAGTGGAGGTGGCTATGAAGAGGTTGTTTTAGTTGCAGGAGGTTGCCCAGTATCGGAAGAGAAGGCGGACCAGGAGGGAGGTTTTTGGATCGTGATCTTGTTTGGAAGAAGAGCTTCAAAGTGATCAGAATAACAAGGCACGGAGCAAAATAATAGATCAGGTTATCTTCCATGATCACTCGTTCGATTTTGGTACAAATCAATCTGGATGCATTGAGCAGTATGTGTGTGTCTATATATCGTACGTATATAACACGTGTGTGGCGTCTTGAGAGGGCCACCGTGGGGGAGGGTGAGATATTAAGATATATATCCACTTGCGGATTCGACAACATGACATTCTTGACAAACTGCTAAAGATGATTTCGATTGATCATGTTCGTGAGGGTTTTACTCTGACCAGCCGGGAGCATCTTGTTTTTGACTTCGAAAGGAAAGCATTTGGAGCCGGCTCTGGCGTTTTCCATATGGATAAGATTCACACGGAAAGATTTTAGTTGTTAAGATTTTTTTTTTACCAGCGTAATTGTTAAGATTTAAATTATCTAATAGCTAGAATTGAAATGATTTGATTTTAACTTGAAAAAGGAGAGATGTATGAATGATGAGTCCTGCACAATTCTGAGGAATCAATAGAGGCACTGTTGATAGCGTCTGAGTATTGAATAGCATGATTTTATTACTTTTTTTTTAATTAATTAGCAAAGCCATTATTTATAGACTGTGTGGATCGAATACCATTGGATCCAAAAAGTAGCATTCTTTCTTTTGTATTGCTGAATACAAAAGGAAGAAAGAAAGAAAAATTAAAGGCCATCAATGTTCATATTAACTTATTATGCTGCCACCCACCCTTCCTAATGCGTGGAATTTGGATCATCGATCTGGCAAAAGAAGAGGAAGAAAGAAACGAGATACTTCCAAAATTACACTATGCACATGTCTTTTTGAATTTTGATTGATATAAAAACTAGTTAGAAATTTGTTTTAGTCATAAATATAAAATTTTAATCTATTTTGTCTTCTATTTATCTATTTTATGAATATAAGAATTATTTTAAAGATATATAATTAATAAGAGTATTTTAAAAAAATATTTGTATATTGTTAAATAATTAATTTAACTGATGTTTTTAATATTCAAATCTATTATGTGAGAGAGGACATGTGGTATTTGCTATACATAAATTGGTTAGGAAGAGCATTGACTCCATATGGGATCCAATGCTTTAAAGATTTTTTTAATTTGATCAAGGATTTTTCTTTTCAAGGTTTAAAATGCAAAAAAATTTTATTTTTCTCAATAAGTATGCTTTTTTGACATTCAAATTTATATTCTCCTTTTTATAGGATAAAACCACTTACTACTTCAACTATTAGTTTGTTATTGCCGATGCTTTTAGCATTATTGACCATGTGTGCGTGTTGTGTTCCGTCAAATTATCCCAAAGTTAATAATAGAGCCAATAATGTGGGTTGGGCCTGCTAGCCCATCAAAAATGGTGGGCTAGGGTTGGTAAAATGCCAACTCGCCAGGGTGTGGGCTACTCCAGCCCGCACCATTTTCAACCCACTCCGTTGTGGGCTAGTCTACTTTTTTTTTTCTTTTTTTTTTTAAATTTTTTATACAATTTTCAATATATCATACAATATGGTTGTAGGATTTTGACCCTCAAATTTCACATTGATATCTCCTCATTCATATAATTGCATATGTGATATACACATAAAAGATTTAGTTAAGTAATTTGGATAAGAAAAATAGTTAAATTAATTATTTAGAAAAAATATGTGTTAGAATTTCTAAAATATCTTCTCAAATTATAAATTAATTCTCATATTATTTTATTATAATCCACTACTCAAGTTTAAAACTCTAAGTCCAATTTAAAAATTTCAAACTAAGCTCAACTTACACAAATAGTAATAATATTTTTTAAAAAATATTTAAGCGGGCCGGCAGGCTGATGCGGGCTACTTCAGCCCGCACAGCTGCGGGCTGGCCCGCATCCGTACTATCAGCCAGTATTATTAGCTCTGTTTTTTTTAATTATTGTTAGCTATAGTTAATAACTAGCCTTTGTAGTTTCACAGTCTCATATTGTTTTTGGTGAAAAAAGGGGCCAAACGCCCCAAAAAACCCCACTGATTGTACTCATTAGCAGGTCTTGGGCTAGCAAAGCCCATTACATCTTATGGACTTATAAAAATAACTATGTAACCCTATTGTAGTCTCGGTTTTTGTTTTATATCGTACCTAAAGATAAGATGCTGCCATGCATGATTCAACATTAAAATTAAATAGTACTCACCTATAGAATATAATTAAAGAGTTGATGTCAATCCTGTATATGAGATCTATTTTACGTATTTATCAATTTTTTTTAAAATTAACTCTATTGATGTTTTTTCAACAATAATCAAGTAAAAGTGAGCGCATAGGAAAAAATTAAGGAAGATGTTTGGAGTGTTTTGGAAAGAGTATACCATATTAACTAATTTAATTAACATTCTTAATATACTCAAAATTGGTTAACTAGGTCCTATATTAATGACTGAAAGAGTATGATTTATTACACTTCTCATATTTTTAGTAAGGATCAACAGTTATTTTTCAGATTATTTTGCCACGGCTTTTTGGTGTTACAGATTAAAATATTTTAGTATTGTTTTAATGGTAATATTTTAGACCTATTAACAACTGTTTTCTCAGATTTCGATTAAGATGCTGATGACGTACATTCTTCACGTACATTTATATTTTATGCAGAAATTCATGAGGCCACGTTGAGCTTGAGGAGATTCTATGTGCCCAGAAAAATATCAGACTTCAATGCAACAGTTCTTTCTGCGTGCTTTATCTGTAACAGCAGTTGGATTATTTTTGAAGGACACTATCATGCTTGATTTAATGATTTTCTGCTGCTTTTTCACTTTATTCCTAATTTTGGCACGTCTCATTATGCATTTTAACAATGACAAAAACACTCTTTAATGTTTATGCCAAACTTATTACCCAATCGTCCTAAATACTACCTCCGGTTCTAATTATAAGACCCAATTAACTTATTTGAGGAGATTAAGGAAGTAAGTTAAGTTAGTTATTTGTAATAAATAAGTGTTGTCATTCCTAAAATATCCTTGCTAATTAAGTATATTGGCTAGAACTATCATTATTAGAAGGATTATCTTGGAAAAAAATACATAAATACGAGAGACAAAATGGATTGGGGTCTTATAATAGGACCAAATAAAAAGTCAAATAGGGTCTTATAATAAAGACCGGAGGTAGTAATTTAAACAATACCCATAACCTTAAAGAACTTAGACTATTCTGGCGAAAAAACAAAAACTTTGACTATTATCTAAGGCTGCAATATAATCTTGTTGATGATCGAACGCGCTTTGCATTGAGCTTCCAATGAAATGGCCTTGGGCATCAGGGTTCCACCTCTCTCAGTCATGTCAACTTTTTCTTCGCTGACCCTTTTCCAGTCAAAGCATTGAATCAGCGATGCTAAAGTCAACCCCACAGTTCGTTGGGCCAAGCCTGCTCCTGGACAGGCCCTCCTCCCCATTCCAAAAGCTATCAGCTTACGGTCCTTTCCTTCCTCAGTTTCAAACCTCTCCGGCTTAAAGCTCAACGGATCAGTCCACAGATCGGGGTCCCTGTGGATGGCCCATGCATTCACAAGCAACATGGTACCACGTGGCACATCATAACCCCCAACGGAGCAATCATCAGAAGCCGCGTGGGGTATGAGCATTGGGGCTGCCGGGCTCAGTCGCAGAGTCTCGGAGATGATGCACTTAAGGTATGATAGTTTGGTGAGATCGGCTTCCTCTACAAGCCGCTCTTCTCCAACCTGAGCTTCCAGTTCAATCCTTGCTTTTTCCAACACATCTGGATGGTTTAACAGATATGACATTGCCCATTCCAACGTGATTGCTGAAGTGTCCGTTCCTGCTATTATCAACACCTGCAAAACAATTTATTTATAATTAATCAACAAAAGATATAACCAAGAAAACAAACCCAAGCCAAATTTAGTGACACACATGGTACAAACTGCAAAACTAACCATAATAAGGCCTTTGATAATTTCGTCAGAGTAATAATCAGGTTCTGATTCTTGTGACGTGAGTAAATGATCTATCAAAGTGTTTGTGCTTTCCAGTCCTTCCTTCTTATGCCGGTGCTCGTCGACGAGCCCTTGCAACAGCTCATCCAACGTCTTTCCAACCCTTCGGAGTCTCTTTTGGTAGCCATTGTAATCAATCCACCGGAACAGAGGCAAGAAATCCCCCAGGTTTGAATCCTTTGTTCCCAAACTAAAGGATAAGATCTCCTGCATGACGTCTCTAAACCGCTTCGCTTCCTCCATGTTCGTCAAATCGGATTGATCGCCGTAATACCGTTTTCCGGCAACCATTCTCATAATGGTGTTAAAGGTCAAATCTGAAAACATCGATCGCAGCTCAACTTTGGCGAAGTCTTTGCGAGACTCGCGAGATAGCTTGCGTAGCAATAGCTTGGTCTCATCGATTCGGAGATTCGAGAATGAGTTGATACGGTGCGTTGAGAGGATCTCGAGAGAACTTATACGGCGTAAGTTGCGCCAGTGGTCACCGTAGGAAGATGTAATAAGGATGGTGTTGTTGTAAGCGATGTACTTGGTCTTGTGGGTGCTAACACGGTTGGCAAGGATGATGTCGTTTTTAGTGAAACACTCTTCAACGGCGGATGGAGATGAAACGATGACAGCAAAAAGAGAGCCGAAACGGAGAGAGAAAATAGGGCCATATTTTTGAGAAAGGGAGTGGAGGTGGCTATGAAGAGGTTGTTTTAGTTGCAGGAGGTTGCCCAGTATCGGAAGAGAGGGCGGAGCTGGAGGGAGGTTTTTGAATCGTGATCTTGTTTGGAAGAAGAGCTTTAAAGTGATCAGAAAAACAAGGCACAGAGCAGAATAATAGATCAAGTTATCTTCCATGGTCATCTTCTCGGTCTTGGTACAAATCAATCTGTGGGCAATATGCATTGAGCTGGCAGTATATATACACACGTGTGTGGGGTAGGATAAGATATTTTGACGTCTCTTTTTGTATTCGGCAGCGTTGTGGTGCGGCGAAAATTTGATTGATCATGTTGTCGAAAGTTTGACTTTGACCATACATATATAGTGAACATCTTGGTTTTTGATTCGAAAAGTAAGCATTCGGAGCTGCAGGCTCCCCTCGTTTTCCACGTACGGATAAATTTTTCAAAAAAATATCTTTAAGATTTTAAAATCACAAATCAATAATAACTATAAAAATATATTGTCATTTACTTTTTAAATATTATCAATTATTATTAAAATGTAGTAAATAAGGCTGATTTAAAGTTTTTAAATTAAAAAAGTATTTTTTTGGATTCTCCCTAAATTTTACAAATAAATATTTTATATTGTTAAAATTTTAAATTATTTATAACTAAAATTGAAATAATGATTATATATAATTTTAGCTTGACGAAAAAATAGATATGACTAGTCCTGATTCAAAATTTTGAGGAATCAATAGCGTCAATATTGTTAGCTCTGAATAGTGAGAGCATGATCTATTAGACCTTTTATATTTTTTAATGATTAAAAAATCATTTTAGAATAATTTTAGTATTATTATACTTGTCCTTTTTTAGGCTCTTTAGCGGCTTTTTTTACCCCATCAGCCTTCTGAGCCGACTCCGAGGAGTGAGGACCTTTTACGCGTAATATTATACATAAACCTATCCAGCTATATTGATTGATGCTTCATGTAAATTAGCTGGTTTAATTTTATAGTAACCAATTCTTTATAGCTGAAATTGATCAAATGATTTAAGTTTAGCTTGAATGAGATATAATTCCCGCGCACATGGTCTTAGAAATGAACGCTATTGTTATTAGCTTATGACTATTGAGTAGATACTTCTTTTAGACGTTTTTTTTATTTTTTTTATTGATGAACACATCATTTCAGAGTATTATTTTAACAAAAAATACCACTTTGACCTTTTGCCATCACAAAATATTTGGTGGGACGGCGTGCTGGTCAAGATCAGTGTCTAATAATAGTAAAATCTCCATGTAGAATTTTCATTATATGACATGAAATATAAGAAGCTACAATGAAAGCATCTGCATATCTAGAAGAAACAACATATGAATTAAAACTCGCGGCTTATTGCCACTTATTGGAGTTTTAGTTGGGATCGTGCATATAGACTTTCCCATTCATGACCTGTGACATCCGCAGAATATTCGTACTAAATGCTAAAATAGCACTTTATTTGTGACATGGATCTTCCATAATTTCACTGCGAAATATCATTCCTTCATCAAAAATACATTGCTGATAGTTGGATGACGTCCTTTACACATGGCTTCTAAAGGAACAACCTTTGACATAGTAATTCCTGATGCCTCTGTCATATCAATCTCTTCTTCACCTGTTCGCTTCCATTCAAAGCATTGAATCAACCAACCCAAAGTCACGCCAACTGTTCGTTGAGCTAAGCCTGCTCCAGGGCATGCACGCCTTCCCATTCCAAATGGAATTATCTTGTCAGCTTCCCCTTCTCTCTCAAACCTTTCAGGCTTGAAACTTGTGGGATCACTCCATAGTTGGGGGTCTCTGTGGATTGCCCAAGCATTGACTAACACTATAGTGTTGCGTGGGACACTATATCCTCCGATGGTGCAATCTTTTGAAACCTCACGAGGAACCAACAATGGTACTACAGGATGCAGCCGCATTGTTTCAGAGATAACATTTTGCAAGTATGGCAACTTTGAAATATCTTGCTCTTCTATCAGTCGTTCTTGCCCTGTGTATGTGTCTATTTCTTGTTGTGCCTTTTTCAATGCCTTGGGATTGTTTAATAAACAAGACAGTGCCCATTCCAAAGTCACGGCCGATGTCTCTGTTCCAGCCATAATCATAACCTGTCAAGTTGAATCAGCATGATCAATAATTGTTAGTGATATAATCAATATCAACATTTTTTTAACTCCCCCCTCTTTCTTTTATTGGGCTTGCTTTGTATGGGCCAGGGATCAATCTACTCTAGCTAGAAATTAATCAGTTAATATATATATATATATGTGTGTGTGTGTGTATATGCTTAATCTGTTAATGCTATCATTAACAAATAATATTTAAACGAAGGTTTACAAGCATCTATACAAAAGCAAAGCCAAGGATATAAAACTGGTAGCAAAGAGGAAATCAATGTTATACTTACCAAAATCAACCCCTTGATGATTTGATCCGTGTAGTACTCTGGATGTGATTCTTGTAAGCTCAAGAGATGATCAACCATAGTATTTGTTGTGTTGCTCGCATTTCGACGTCGATTAATGAGTCCTTGCAAAAACTCATCGACTCTCCCAGAAAAACTCTTGAGCTTCTTCTCCAAGTTGTCATAATCAAACCACCTCAATATGGGAAAAAAGTCTCCAGGATTGTTTGCCCCTCCTAACCTCGGCAACTCTTTTAAGATGGCCTGAAACTTCCTTGCCTCTTCCACATCCGCCGCATCAATGTCATCTCCCAAGTACCTTTTCCCACATACCATTCTCATGATAATGTTAAACGTCATCTCTAAAAACTTGGATTTAAGTTCCACCTTCGTAAAACCCTTGGAGGAATCATGGGCTAGCTTTCGTACAAGCCGCATCATCTCGTCTTTTCTCGTTTCCAAGAAATGGTTGAGACGATGCGTGGAGAGGATCTCAACCATCATGATGCGGCGGAGGTTACGCCAGTGATCGCCGTAGCTGGTGAACGATATGGTGGTGTAGTTGTAACCGATGTACTTTCCGTTGATCAGGCGAGGCCGGTTTGCCAATGCGATGTCATTAGTAGTGAAGCATTCTTGAACAGCAGAAGGCGATGTGACAACCACAATCAAACGAGAGCCAAACCAGAGGGAAAACATATTACCATAGCGTTGGGAAAGGCGATGTAATTGGCGATGGAGTGGTTTCTTGAGTTGGTGGAGGTTGCCGATCACCGGAAGACCAGGCGGCGTCGGAGGGATGTTTCTGAACCTCCATCTTTGGAGAAGGAACTTGAGAGTGAAGAGGGAAATAAGAGATATGATAGAATAATAGACGAAGGAGTTCATGGGTGATTCTTAGTGTGCGAACAAGGATTGAGTTGCCATGGCATTTATATGCGTAAGGACCATAAGGTCACTCCTCTAGGTGCATCCCCTAACGTCAGTTTATCAAATTATAGGGCCATATTCATTCAATCACCAGAGAATCATAAACATTAAATGTAGTACAGACAATATTTCTTTTAGCGAGCATAATAAGGACAATATTAAATCTTATAATGATTATTGCCAAAAATGTCAGTTAACTTATATATAACCTTTTCGTTTTTAAAGATGTATATTAAAAAATCATAGATAGTTGATATATTAAGGGTTAATTAATCTGTAAGTCCTTATAGTTTCAGCTAATTTTGAATCGGGTCCCTATAGTTTTTTTCCTTTTTATCAAGTCCTTACATTTTCACCTGTTTTTAATTAGGTCATTGCATTTATTTTTCTTTTTATCAAGTCCTTATAAGTTTATTTTATTTTTAATTAAGTCCCTGAATTTTTTTATTCTCTATTTTATAAACATAAAATAGTATATATGATTTAATATTAGTTTATAAACAGTAATGTTCTAAAAATAATGAATTATTATAATAATTTTATTTTTTTCAACAAAAAAATTAATTGTTCCGAAACATTTTCCTGAATTAATTATTTATATTACTTATTTTTATTATATAATTATTAATATAATTTAATTATTAATATTTTATATTTCAGTATTAATATATTTAATTAAGTTTATATTTAATTAATAAATAAAAATTAAAACTACATGAACCTTATTAAAAATTTCGTAAAATTATAAGGACTTAATAAAAAGAAAAATAAGTGCAAGGATCTAATAAAAAACAGGTAAAAGTATCAGGACCTAATAAAAAGAAAAAAAACTATAAGGATCTGATTTAAAATTAGTTAAAACTATAAGGACTTACGGATTAATTAACTGATATATTAAATATATAAACGCTAACTGTATTTGATATTAAGCGATAAAAATTATGCTCAAAATATTGAAGGTTGAAAAAAACTAAATTTTTAAAAACATAACATCTTTCAACAATTTAATTTAATATTGTTAAAACTTGTGACCTCCCTCACAGAAAGAGTTTTGTGTCACAACTCACAGGGTCAAAAAATTTTACGCAAATTAATAATGAAACAGCGTTAAATGCAACTTGCTTAAAAAAGAATCTCAGGAGATTATCTAGAAAACTGCCATAAGTCAGTACGTGATAAGGATGGTCTAGAACTTCTAAATATGGGTGTTTTATACTTTGAAGATTCCTACTTTTTGGTTTTTTGACAACCAAGATTCCTACTAAATTGTTAGAATAATAAATATTAATTTCAACATGATAATACATATTTAAATTTTCACGTTGTTAAGGGGACATACTGATGGACAGGTGGCATATGCCGGGGAACCGTCTGCTGATGAAGCCCACCAAAAAGAATATGCCAAGCCAAGATACAAATTAAAATGATGCACGTATCACATTGCTCAAATATGGACTCTTCATAATTTATTTTTCATAAATCTAATTGATTCTATTAATCTAATTAATATAAATACATGGAACCTTTAATATATATAATGAGAGATTCGTTTGAGGTACTTAGTTATGTGTTTCATGCATCTAGATTTATGTGATTCTCCTAAACTAAAAACTAGCCTAGTTGGGTCAAGCAAGTTGGGTTGGACTAACTCAGTTTAATTTTGATTTTTTCCGGGTAAAAATTTTGATTTTTTTTAAAACATTGACCCTTCGTATCTTGATATCCAAATAACTATTTTGGACGTATATATATACCGCCAGTTTTGATATGTTTTCAAAGATCTTTTTGTGTTTTTTATAAGATATTTTCACAGACCTATACAATCAGCAAAAAAATTACTGTCAGGCCTTATGCGAAAGTGCGGAATCCATATACTTGGTTAAATGCTAATACTAAAATTCTTGAGCTTAAACTTGAAATTCTTGGTTTAATTTATGGAAGACTGTGAATCCCTCTGCACAATTTTTTTTTAATTATTTGATTTTGTACACTCTAAAAAAGCAGCATAATATATGATTCTGTTCCCATGGTTAGAGAGAAGATGTTTGAAGATGCAGTCTAAAATTTCTGGACCTCCTAGGTTCCTTCACTGCCCGTGTCCTGAGGCAAAAAACTCTTATCTTTACAGTTTACAGTCGATGGAAACGCAAGAATGTTACTGACTTTGGAGTTGTCACTCTGTTTTTAACTCCCAACAGACACAGACATTAACAGGACATTATCGAAGTTTCCAAGGCATCCATATAATATAAAATCTCAAAATGAACCTCAACACAATGTCCTGCAAGCGCAGAGCGTAATGGACTTAATTATCTGAGGATCGATGCAGGTTTCACGGTTTCCTGTTACTTCGACAGACACCGTACTGATTCTTCTAAGGGTAGCATTAAATATGCAGATATATCCAGACCACAGCATTCTAATTAACGTGCTGCGCGATTAGAAACCAATGGTGATGAAGTGTTCACGCAATATTATTCACCAATCCATTGATTATCATAAGAGATTAATAAGAAGTTACAAACAAGTTAATAAAACAAGTGCCGAAAATGATGATGATAACAATAATGATAATTAGAGCAGACCTATAGGTGTACATATAGATATAGAGATGTTACCTTGTTGGCTCGCGCGCGCACATTATACACTAAACATATACTCTTATGGTTCTTAATATAATACCTAATTATTGAGTTAATTTTTATCCTAAGTATAAGACTTATTTCTCATAGTTATCAATTTTTTCTAAATTATCTTGATAGATATTCTCTCGACCATAATCAAGTAGAAGAGGAAGAAAGGACATTAAGAAAGATGATTGTAGTATTTTAGGAAAAACATGTCATATTTTTTTATAATTAACTAACTTATCTAACTATGTTAATCTAATCAAATTAGTTAAATAAGTCTTATATTAAGAATCATAGAAGTATTATGGACTTTTATAATTGCTCACTCCCCCGTGGATATCTTTTATGCCTCTATTCCCGCTGTTTTACCATTTTTGTGTTGTCCTTGAAATTAACCTTTTTAAGAAAGAACATGGTTGATGATGGGGTGACGTGCTTTGCACGTGGCTTCTAAGGGAATAACTTTGGGCATAGTGACTCCGCCTCCCTCCCTCGTGTCAATTTTTTCCTCACTTATTCGTTTCCATTCAAAACATTGAATCATCAAACCCAAAGTTAAGCCAACAATTCGTTGAGCCAAATTTATTCCAGGGCAAACTCGTCTTCCCACCCCAAATGGAAATAGCTTGTTGGCTTCTCCTTCATTCCCAAACCTTTCGGGCTTAAATTTCACAGGGTCGCTCCATATCTGGGGATCCCTATGTATGGCCCAACCATTAATTAACACGATGGTGCCACGTGGGATATTATATCATTGGATATTACATTTATATGAAGACGTATGAGGAATAAATAATGGGGCTGCGGGTTGGAGTCGAAGTGTTTCAGAGATAACACTTTGAAGATATGGAAGACTCGAAATATCCACCTCCTCCATCAAGCGTTCCTGTCCTGTTTGTGTCTCTATTTCTTCTTTCGCCTTCTTCAACACCTCCGGATGGTTCAATAAATTAGTCTTGCCCATTCTAAAGTCACAGCCGTCGAGTCTATTCCACCCAAAAGTAAAACCTGTTTAATCAAATTTTAGTGTTATAATTCTCCTATAAAGGCATCAAACAATGATAATGCCAGAAACCAATCTATGCGTACACACATTTTAGTTTTGATTTAGTGTGTACATTTATTTTGAAAGTTTTTACTCAGAAGCGTTGGGCATCAAAAAATTTTGAGTGCAAATTCAACTCGACAGTTTAAAATCATAACAATTTTATCTCATACTGTTAAAAAACTAATATTAATCATTAATATTTTTAATAGCAGTAATAAAGTTGTTACTATGTTAAACTTCCGCCAGGTGTCTACCACTCATAAGTGAAAACTTTATACAATGTTATATATCAAGAAAGCTATGTGGGTATTTGGGTAAAACCTAAACCATGGTTTTAAAAGTGATTTTATGATTAAAAAAATAAGTATGTGAGAGGAGTTTTGTCTCAATTTGCCTAGAAGCACATTTTAAAAATGCTTTTTCATTAATCCAAACAGCCCCGACATGATACTAACATCTTACATTTGTGAATTAATCTGATGCGTGCGTTAATTACTCTAACTAGGAAAGTGCAACAGCATCAAAATATTTGCAGCATGTGACATTATACTGCGTACTAACCTGGATAAGACCCTTAATAATTTGATCCGTGTAGTGCTCTGGCTGGGACTGTTGCAAAGTTAGAAGATGATCTATCATGGTGTTTGCACCGACTTGGTTACCATTTCGATGCTCATCAACAAGTCCTTGCTAAAATGTATCGACCCTCATGGCTAAACGCTTGAGCCTCTTCTCCAAATTTTGGAAATCAAATTACCTCAGTACGGGTGAGAATTCTGCAGGGTTATTCGCACCTCCTAGTTTCATCATCTCAATTATCATTTCTCTGGCTTCTCTCGCCTCTTCCATGTCTCCCGCGTCAGAATCGCCACCCCAGTACCTCTTCCCCGTGGTCATTCTCATAATAATGTTGAACGTCATCTCTAAAAACTTGGATCTGAGCTCCACCTTGGAAAATTCCTTGCATGATTCTTGAGCTAGCTTCTTTAGAAGCCTCATCCTCTCAACTGTTCGCATTTCCGAGGAAGCTTTGAGATGGTTCGTGAAGAGGACCTCGAGCGCGACGATGCGGCGGAGGTTGCGCCAGTGGTCGCCGTCGGGGGAAAACGTCATGGTGGTGAAGTTGTGGCCAATGTGCGTGGCGATGAGAAGTGGAGGTCTGTTTGCCAGGACAATATCATTTTTGGTGAAGCATTCTTGGGCCGCCGACGCCGACGAAACAACGACGTCGAGGCGAGAGCCAAACTAGAGAGAAAATATTTTGCCATAGCGCTGGGAAA